CCTGTTCAATAAGATGAGACGACGACGACTTCTTGAAGATGGAATAAGGTTCTCCTCGCCTACCCCACGTCCCAATGGTCTGTCTAACATCGTCAGAGGGCGTGTGGAGGTGTGTCTCCGGAGGATCTCATGAGATTTCGTCGGTCGTTGTCTTTGGTGGATCCGCTCGGATCTGGTCTTTATTCGTCTTTGTTCATGTGTCTTCAGGTTGGATCCTTCCAATCTAAAATTCTCTTCATCGGCGACGGTTGCTGTTCTGGGGCGTTGGTCCTATGGGACCTTAGCACGACGACTTCCCGACTGTCTACTACAACAAGTTGTGCCTGGCTCCGGCGAGGGAGGGGTGATGACGGTGGCGCGCCTTCGGCTCACTTCAGTACTTGTAGTCGTCGATAGGTGGTCTATGAATCTGGATGTAATTTTTATTATTTCTGGTGTTCATTGTACTGCCATGATTGAAGATGAATAGGTCGACAGTTTTGCAAAAAATGGTTCAGATGTGAAATCATGACACTTGGGCCCTGGTGACAAGCAAAGCTTAGCAAAATCATGGAGCCAGCAATCTCAGAACATAAATGACAGCAGACATGAAACCCTAACAATTCTAGTAACTATTATGTAAGGGGTCTCATCCAATTTTCATGCAGGTGTGTGCCTACAGAGAAATTACTCTCACATGAGCGAAGAAATCATGATAATGATAGTAAAGAAGTTGGTCATGAATATGATGAAGATCCTTCTCTCCGGAGGCTAGATTAGCCTCTAGACCGCCAGATCAGCCTCTAGACGCCTTGCTTTGTGCCCTTGATGCAAAACTCAAACAAGCACCATGTGAAACAGAGGAGGGGGTACTCTATACCATAGTTCACGTTTTTGTAGTGGACATTTCAACGGTGTGGACTCTGTTTTGGATGTACTATTGTGGAACAACATGTCACCTTTTCAACTAAATAAAAAATTAGAGAAAAGGTGAAGCTGATAGTTACTGGAAGTTATATTTTTCTTGGCTTAAATGTTAGTTTGTCCCACCCATGTTCTCGAACGGCGACGGGAAAGGGAAGGCGGGATGGGCCAATGGATGGAACACATAGCTACTTTGTTCACATTGTCAGAGCTTCATAATATTTATGTAAACAAAAATGGTTTTTTATCCCTCCTCCGAGAAAAGGTGGCTAGGGTTTTTGCCTTCCATCGACGGCGCCGCCGATCTCCCATGTCTCTTGTGGCCTTAGGGCCATGGGTGCGCGGTGGATCCCGGCCCTTGCCGGCGGGAGGGCTCCGTTTTCAGGTGCTTCTTCAAGTTTTGTTAGGGTTTGTGTCCTGATCAAGAAGACGAGACGGCAGCGGCTTCTTGAAGATAGAATAAGGTTCTCCTCGTCTAGCCCCGTCCCAATGGTCTGTCTAGCATCGTCGGAGCGCGTGTGGAGGTGTGTCTTCGGAGGATCTCGCCAGATTTGGTCGGTGGTTGTCTTTGGTGGATCCGCTCGGATCCGGTCTTTATTCGTCTTTGTTCTGTGTCTTCGGGTTGGATCCTTCCAATCTAAAATTATCTTCATTGGCGGCGGTTGTTATTCTGGGGCGTTGGTCCTATGGGACCTTAGCACGACGACTTCCCGACTGTCTACTACAACAAGTTGTGCCCGGCTCCGGCAAGGAAGGGGCGATGACAGCGGCGCGCCTTCGGCTCGCTTCAGTGCTTGTAGTCGTCGATAGGTGGCTATGAATTTGGATGTATTTTTTATCATTTCTGGTGTTCGTTGTACTGTCATGATTGAAGATGAATAAATCGACAGTTTCCCGCAAAAAAAGGTTCAGATGTGAAATCATGGAGCCACCAATCTCAGAACATAAATGATAGTAGACATGAAACCCTAACTATTGTAGTAACTATTATGTAAGGGATCTCATCCAATTTTCATTCATGTGTGCCTACAGAGAAATTACTCTCACATGAGCGAAGAAATCATGATAATGATAGTAAAGAAGTTGGTCATG